TGCCCTTAAGCTTAGCCATGTCTTTGGTATTTCACTCTTCACATTCATGTTGCCCACGAATGTGTTGATTTGCTGTGAATGTTCAGCCACGTACATCTGAGTCACTGCTCCTTAGCAGCATCCCATTCATGAAGTAGGCACTTGGTATTTTTGTAAGAGGCAAGCAGCATACTTACTTTACAGATAGGGGAAATAAATGCCAGAGAGGTCAGGTAACTTGCCAGAAGCCACCTATCACTGCTACTGGTGGCATTTTTTTTAAACTGTGACATATATATAACATATATATAACATATATATAACATATATATATAAACCATGTAACATATTTAATGTCAGTTAAATTCCTAATTTTTCTAATCTCTCCCACATATTTTACCAAACACAGCCCCATTTCCAGAAACCTTGGGCTGTTTTCATTTACTTGTCTCTTCCAATTACTTAGGATTTGAAGTAATTTGAAGCAAATGACTTGCCTACTTATTCTCATTGGCCTCATATGTAAAAGGAAGGTAACTGGTACTCACTTTATAGTTGGAGTAAACACAGTAGTTCAGATGAAACGCTTAGTCAGTACAGAATACTTGGTAACTGCTGAAGTCATTCACCTATTTTTTTCCCCATATGTACGTGTAAAATCTAGTAGTAAGGCATTGTCTCTTGCTGAAAAGGGGTGAGTTTGAACTTTGTCATATTCCAGCAGCCCTAAATTTTAAGAGAAACCTCACACACACATGCTGTTGCCTTTACATTCTCAGACATCCTTTAACAGACATCATACACCATTAAACAGGACGAAGGGCAATGGTGAGTGAGTGTAATTACAATCTAGGCAGTTGGAGAAGGAAACAGAAAACCATGACTGGCTTTGAATCATACCAATATGTCAGTTAGATTTCTAGGACGGCTGATTCTTGGATGTGGGCAGGAGGGCAGCAGGAGAAAGGGAAAGACTAAGGATAATTCCGAGTTAAGGATAATTGAGAGTTTGGTGGTACAATTCTTGGGGTGGAGAAAACTGGAAGTAAAGAGAAGAGGTTGGCATATGCAAAAAGGATGAGACTCTAGTGTTTTGTCTCAAATATAAGGTACACATTTCCATGAGACCTCAGAGACTGAGGTACCCAACCGCTCGGGTTAGTATCCCTAGGATAAATTTCACGGTCACCTAGTGAAAAGAGCTCAAGTTGTTTGCATGACTGCTTCGAGGATATGCTGCTCAGGATGTTGGCTGCAGCAGATCTGTAGAACCACAGCTGTTTACTCCAAGAGAGCCACTTGAAGTTTATTTATGTCACCAAGGACCAGGAAGGTGAAATGGCGCCATTGTCTGTGCTTGTTTTTCACAAAAATCCATATCTAGATGACATGAGCAAGTCCTCAGCAGTCTTGGCTGTGTTCTAATAGGTCAGGTGTGACTTAAGCCCTAGAGGCCTAGGGAAATCGTAAATTAGACTGAAGGTGGCTGAGATAAAGCAAGAGTGCCTTTGCCCCAGATTAGAATCAAGGACAACAAAGTTGCCTAGAATTAGAAATCTAACAGAAACTGCAGAGACAAGCACAAGTTATTTTGTGAGACTTTTGCTAATAGACAAGCTAAGAAGGAAGATGTAAAAACATACTTATCAAATTTGAGGATTTATAAAAAATACCTCAGGAACTGCTTCTTCCCAGAGAGTCAGAATAGCTATGGGCTCCCACTCAGGACTATATTTCTCACAAGTGATTCTTTTTTTTTTTTTTTGTGAAAATACCATACAGAGGGGTTACAATTACATGGGCAAGATAATGAGTACATTTCTTATCAAGCATTGTTGCCTCCCCCCGCGCCAAAGTTGTAAAGTTTGTTTTTCGACATAATGATTTGTTCATCTCATTGTTGCGATGGGTCCACCTGTATCCCTATTTAAACGAGTTGTTTTTCCCCTCCCCTCCCCAAATTATACCAACATCAAATACAGTGAAAGCAGGGGTTATACCGTGGGGGAGGGACATACAAAGCAACAAAGAAATCATCTTATAAATATGTTAGAAATAATTGCATAAAAGCAAAAACATTTGAATACTTATCTTGGGGTTCATTTCACCTAACATCAACTTATCTGACCTTTTCTGCTTGTTTCAGACATATACTAATCATTGCAAATAAGGGAAACCATGGGACCTATGTTTCTTTGGGCCTGGCTTATTTCACTTAATATAATTTTTTCCAAGTTTTTCCATTTCCTAACAAATGGGGCAATGTCATTTTTTCTGGACTGAGTAGATGGTCTCAGACATTTTTCTTGTCTCCCTGGCTCACAAGTGATTCTGATACAGGTGATCCATAGATCTTATTTGGAAAAACAGGGAGACAAGAAAAATGTCTGAGACCATCTACTCAGCCCTGCCTTACAAATGGAGAAACTGACACTTGTGGAGAAGGGGTTTGCCCAAAGTCATGGAGCAACTTGGAATGTCAGTGCTGTTAGTTCACTAGCTTACTTACTCTTCGTTCTGCTGGATGACTGGAAAGCAAACCTGCCTTTCCACTTCCCAGTTCCCCTTCTTCCATTCTGTGTTTTCTCTTCTTTTCCAAAGCACTTACTGCCTAACATGAAACTAACTTTCTAGTTTACCATGCTTGTATTTGTCTCACTAAAATACAGACTTTACAGGGGTAGTGGCTCACTGAAGTATCCTATGTGCCTCAAAGAGTCCCTGACCCACAGCAAGTTTCATGACTGTAAATAAATAGATGAAAAAATATTTTGTTTTGCTCTTAAGTAGTTACTATGGGAAAATTCCAGCTCTTAGGCATGGTTAGCACAAAGTAAAGTAGAATATTTTCTTCTTTGCTTGATTCTGCTAGAATCAGGGTTTCAAAAACAGTTTGTGTTTGGGAAATGAAAGACCTTCCCACAATATTAATAATATTGATAGTAACTATAATAACAATAGCCCCCAAACACAAGAAGTTCAGAGCCAGGAATGCCACCTCATGATCTTTTCTAAGTCTCCTGCCTTCCAGGATTGGCAGAACAGGAATATGGTCTGTTTTATAGGAGATGGATGCTCAAGAGGTGAAATTACTTCTTCATAGCCAGTATACACTGAAGAATAAGATTAGCTACCAGTAACATTCAGCATTGGGTTGGAGATATTCTCCTTTTGGAGGAGAAATTAAAAATGCTAAAGACTAGGTGAGAATTGCTTTTTGGGGTATCTCTGGGCCAAGAACATCAACGTCCAAGGTGGTTTAAAACCACAGGATGGAAAGAAAGGTGCATTTCTTTCAGCTTAACTTTCCAGTACTTCCTTATACCTCACATCTTTCCATTCTCATAACACACACACACACACACACACACACACACACACACACACACACACACACACACACACACACACACACACACACACACACACACACACACACACACACTCTTACATTTTAGACTGTTAGGCTTTTCTTACTTCTCAGACAACCTCCCTGACACACACACACACACACACACACTCTTACATTTTAGACTGTTAGGCTTTTCTTACTTCTCAGACAACCTCCCTGAAAGCAGCCAAGGAAAATTCCTGTGGTGACAGATCACACTATCCATTTCTAGGGAGGCCACTGTGGCACTCATTCACAACCCACCCCTACGGAAGGGCAGACAGAAAGGGCCCCTTCATCCACCTTCTCTAACACTTCCCTGTTGAGGCCTCAACAGGAAAATGATGGCTTTCTAAATGTGGACACAGTAGATCTCTTGTGAGACTTGGTTGAACCTCTGTGTTCTGGAAACACTGTACTTTCCCACCGTGGATAATGTCAGCATTCATTCAAACCCCACCAGCCAAGATGGGCCTTGCTCCGAGTCAGTGGCCTTCCACACATGTGGCAGAAGATCTCTAATATGCATGATCAGACAGCACTCTCCTGCTTCTGTGACTGCGAAGGTCTAGGGTAGTTGGTAACTTGCCAGGGTCTTATGGCCTTTGCAATAGATAGAGCTGTGTTTTAAACACACAGATTGTATACTAAGGCCTATGCTTTGCCAGTGTGCTCCCCACAAAGCAGGTTAAGAACATGGATTTTGGAGCTATATTGTTTGGGTTTGAATCTTGACTTTGCCACTGGGAGGTGGGAAGTAGATGGGCTACAGAGCTGCCCTCTTCCTAGGCATGTCCATCTGTAGCAAGTGATAGCTCCTATCATTTGTTGTGAGAACTAAATGAATCAATGCATATAAAATACTTGGTGTCTGGTGCACAGGCACTATATAAATACTAGTATTAGTTCTAGTATAAGTACTAGTACTTATTTTTACATATCAAGTACTGTTTTCTCTGTTTGTAAACTTAGTCTTGGAAATTTCAGGGTCTCCCCAAAGGTTGTTGTACCTATATGTTCAACAACCATGAGTTTGATCCATACATGGTGCTTAAAGTGGTACCTGGCATATCATTTGCACCCCCCCACCGCCCCCACAAGCCCCCGTAACTTGTTAGTGGTGCCTGGCATATAATTCACCCCTGGTAACTGTTAGTGGTGATTAATATGACATTGCCAAGGCACTGAGGCTAGAAGTGGTGAGACATCTGCCCTTAATCAGCACTCTCCTCTAGGCTGGGGATTCAGGGAGAGATGGGCACATATGCTCTTCTTACACATTGGGCAAGTGGGAGGTGGCCATTATTTTCCACACAGCAAGTTTCTTTTATTTTAATGCCCTAGCAATGAAATATATATACATATATATATACATATATATATGTACACACACATAAAATTTAAAAGGATGGGGAGGTGAAACTTTTTCATTCCTGGTTAAGACACATTAAATCAAAACAATAAGAATTAGGACTTAGCGCGTTTGCAGTAATAATTTGTCTCTGGACAGCTTTGTAGTGTGCCATTCACTGGAATGAGCTTTCTCTGTCTAGTTGCCACCAGCCCATGCTTGGTCTGAGCACAGAATCCTCCTAGGCTTGGTCATGACTACTCTATCCTTCTCTCCTAGCTTAAGAGTTGGACAGTGGAAGACCTTCAGAAGAGGCTCTTGGCCCTTGATCCCATGATGGAACAGGAAATTGAAGAGATCCGGCAGAAGTACCAGTCCAAGCGGCAGCCAATCCTGGATGCCATTGAAGCTAAGAAGAGGCGACAACAAAACTTCTGAGGGAGGCTGGGCCCAGGTGGCTGACTCTAGATCACATGTCTCATGTTTGTTAGCCAGCATCTGCTCTGTCATTTCTCCACAGCACCTTTGTGAACTCAGGAACATGCGCCACTGGAGGGGCTACTTGTGTTATCTTGATGTGAGTATTTCCACTGGCCAGATTTACTATTTCAAGAGATTTGTATGGGCGCTTTTAACTCAGAGTTTTAAATCCCAGGAACGGAGACTCCTAGTTGAGTCTAGCTGGGAAAGTTTTACATTATCTTTTTGGATTTCTTTTCCCAATAGCTTTTGGTTGTTCTTTCTGAAGACTTTTAAAAAAATATAAATATGCGTATATATAAATTATAAATAGATTCCCACTCCATGTGGTGGCATCTCTGTACAGGTACAGTTTTGAACATTTTTGCCTCTTTCTGTAAGCTTATGGTACTGTGGAACAAGAGGACAGAGGGAGGCTCATAAGGAGTCACTGGACTGCAGGAGCCAACCTCACCTTTGCAAGGCCGCATTGAAAAAGTAGGACCCGGACAGTCCTCTCACATTTTCAGCTTTGTGTGGTCCTCACTGACTTCTGGAGCTGTCAGTGATGCACAGGGAAAGCCTTGAGGATTTGCATTTGCTCTTGGAGTCCCAGGGGAAGCCTCTTTGCAAATTGGCCTTTGTTGTTTCAACGTCTTCATCTATCTCCACTCTCCTAACTGCCTAAAGTCACATCCCAGATACTGCCTAGTGCCTTAAGAGGAGACCATGATCCAACAAAGGGACAGGCCTACCAGGAGCTCTCAGCAAACACAGGGCTGTGCTCCATTAGCAGAAGGGGAAGGGTTTTTGAAGCTCTCATCGTTTCCTGTGCAAATCACGCATGTGTCATTTCACTCTGCATTCCTTACAGACAGGGTAGAGGGCATTGCTTCTGTGACCCACATTCAGATATGTGACCATTTTCTTCTTCATTTACTGTGTGGGGGGCGGGGAGGGGAGGGGCATGGTCTGGAAAGGATAAATGAATACCAGACTAAGATTTATTATCCAGGAGCTCAATCAAGGACACACAGTGCCAGAGCTTGAAGGACCATAGAGATCATCCCGTCTGACTCCATGTTGTGCAGATGGGAAAGCTGAGGCTTAAGAAGGGAAGTTACCTGGGGAATAGCGCAAATCAACTTAGAGGAAGAACAGAGATTGGAACTTGGGGCTCTTCTCCTTGGTCTCTGAACTGAGCAGCCGTTTCCTGAGGGGTGGGATCTGTGTCTGTTTTGGTCATGTTGTCCCAGGGAGCACTGCTCACAGAGACTAAACTCTGGCCTTGCCTCTTTAGCAGCAGACCTGGCTGTGATTTTCCTGAGGAGCCACACTGTTCAGTGTCAGCAAGTCCATGAGCCTCTGCAGTTTCTGTAGATGCACACCAACCCCCATGGAGGCACATTTAGGCTCGAAGCAGAGGAGAGGCTTTGCAAAAGAGCCGTCTTCCTGCAACTTTGGCTGAAAGCCTCCTTTAGTCACACAGCAGAAAGACAATTGAGAAAGACAAATGTCTTTTTATTTTCTTCTAATGTCTTTTCCCTCAGATGGGAAGCCATGATTGAGTAGCACCAGAGGATGCTGTAACTTGACTCCATAATTGCTCTCACTCCCTAGCCCTCAGAATCAGTGTGAAGGCAGGGATGTTCCTCTGTGTGACAAGATTCTTTTCTTTGCAATTACAGCAAGTTTTTAACAATGCAAGATACAACTGGTCTCCGATGCTTGGCCTAAAGAAAATAGAGGACAATCTGAAGATCTTGTAAGAGCAGCAGCTGGCATTTGCTGACCATGGGTTATATTCAGGCAATAAGCTAGGTGGGCTCCAAATTTTATAGTAGTCCTGAAGGGGACAATTTATTTCCTCAGCAGTACAACCAGGAAGTCATAGAATTAGGATTCACAGCATCCTTGTGTGGGGCCAGTATTTACAGGAAAAGGAAACTCATATATCTTTTTAAACGAAGTGCCCATCTTTTCTCACAAACTAACTCTAAATTGAATTTTTAGGTGGAAAACAACTAAACCAAGAGTCAACTGTAACAGCCAATTAAGTTTTAAAAGCCAAAGCATGAGAATGCACACCATTTGTGCGTGCGTGCACATGTGTGCATGCGCACATGCACATGTGTGTTAATAGTTCTGTCTCAGTCTCTTTCCCTTTTAAGCAAATAAAACTTTGTCCTTGGCCCAGTAGAAAGGATGGGCCCATTTCTCCTTTCCTAAGCAAGATCCAAGTCAAGGAAAGCTGTTTTTCCCGTAAGTACTCTTAGGCCATGAACTTTGATTTGGAGTTAATTTTATTTCAAGCATGTATGCACCCTACAGGCTGATCTAGCAGAGTCTGCTGCTCATCAGTCCGGCTCAACAGAGCTTTTTGGCCAACAGTCAGTTTGTTTTGGTTCAGATAGTTTTCCTGGCAAGGTGTATTTATTTTCTAGAGACAGAAAGGCAAGAAAAGAAAATCATAGTCATTGTTTCCTTGAATGCTGCATTCAGGATACTTGAGCTTGCCTTCATTGAGCTTGAGTATTTGTGACTTAAGCTTCCAAGGAACTCTATGGCTCTATGCTTCTGAGAAACCATGACCTAATTGCATCTTTTGAAAAATTGTACTCTAAAACATTTTGACTGCCTTCCTCCTAGAGACCTGAATTTCTGTTTTTTATTTTTCCTGTATTCTTTTTCCCAACCACCAATTGGGATAATGAGATTTTGGTTGGGAGTGAGGAGAAGTGGTTGAATGATGGTAGGTAGATAGGTAGGTAGGTAGGTAGGTAGGTAGGTAGGTAGGTAGGTAGATAGATAGATAGATAGATAGATAGATAGATAGATAGATAGATAGATAGATAGATAGATAGATAGATAGATTGAGCAGTTTAAAGCAGTTTAAAAAATTATAACCTTGACTCTTTAAGACTATAGGTTCCAAACCAGGAAACACTTAACACCTACCAGATGCCAAAACTTATTTATATCATTTAAAACTCAATAACCCCAATAACAGGAATGATAGAAATGAGGTGACATCACTATAGATCCTAAAGATCCTATAGCTATTAAAAGGCTAATAACAGAATATTATGTACAACTATATGCTAATAAACCCAACAACCTAAATAAAGTAGATACATTCCTGGAAATATACCAAAGTTTAGAAGAAAAAAGAGCTCTGAGAAAAAAAAAGGGGGGCATTACTGTCTGCCTTTTACAGATGAGAAAACTGAGGCTCAGAGAGGTAGTCTTACTCAAAGTCATAGTACTAGAATATAACTTAAGAGTCGGAATTCAAATCCTGGTACTTCTGGTGTCCTTTCTAACATTCCATGTTGCCTCCAAAGACTGAAGCTCCTTATTAGGGGGAAATTGCTCCTGCCCAGCCCCACCTGCCCACCTTTCAGCACCACATTGATGTCATGACTGTATTCATTGTCTTTGGAATCCACATTTTTATGTTTGAAAAAAGAAATTTCTACCAGCTTGCACTCGGACCAACTTGGAAAATAAAAACTTAAATGCTGTTGCTGATGTACAATTTAAAAATGTGAAGTTTGTAGCTTTAATTTTTTTTTTTGTAATGAAAACTAAACACACTGGCTTAAGTGCTGACTTGAAAAGCTATTTTGTTAGGCTTGGATGTAAATAATTGGTCAAGGTCAGCAGTTTGTATATGGGTGAGACATAGCTTCCTCCACTGCCTTTGGTTTGGGTTTTAAAATTTGAGATGATTCAAATGTGTTTTTATGTTAGAATTATCCTTTTTCCCTCCCTCCCTCCCTCTCTCCCTCCCTCCCTCTCTCCCTCCCTCCCTCCCTCCCTCCTTTCCTCCCTCCCTCCCTCTCTCCATCCCTCCCTATACCATGTCATCTTTGTTTTAAATAAATTTGTCCTTTGGACCATGGCTCTTTTTTAAATGACTCCCTTTTTTTAAAAAATGAGGTCTTGCATATGTGCCTGCATAGTAGTGGTGTAAGCTTTAGTGACATTGACTCCTGTGTAGAGTTTGTGTTCCAGGATTCAAGGATGAGAAGAAGCAGGTGAGTTTTCGTTGGACATGTACTTTGTGCCAGAGACTGAGCTAGTCGACCAGGACATAAAGATGCACAGAGTGTGCAGAACTTGTGAGGAGTCAGTCCAACACAGAAGCTTACAACCTTGTGAATGTTGTGGTTGAAGGAAGTACACAGCTTTCAGCACACTTGATGGAGTGGCCGTGCTGCAGGGGCCTCCAATGAAGCTCTCTGGAAGAGGTAATACATCTTGATACTTGAATGATAATGAAAGAAGAGACAAGTATGTTTTATGTGTAGAACTATTCAATTCTTAAAAAGGAAGGACATTCTGACAGATGCTACAACATGGGTGAACTTTGAAAATATAATGCTACATGAAATAAGGCAGTCAGAAAAGAAAAAAATATATGTTCTCATATAAGATACCTACAGTAGGCAAATTAATAGAGACAGGACGCAGAATGCTGGTTGCTGTAGGAAAGGGAGGAATGGGGAGCTAGTGTTTAATTAGCTAGTGTTTAGTTTGGAAGATGACAGAATATAGAGATGTGTGATGATCGTACAACAAATTACCTACTATACACTAAAAATGGTACATTAGGTATATTTTTCTACAGCAAAAAAAAGCCATACAACCCTATTTGTATAAAATTCAAAATGATGGCAAAGTAATCTATGATATGCAGAGTGAGGATAGAGCTTCCCTTTGTTGGATGTGGAGGTATGCAGAGGGAGGAGCATGAGGAAGGCCTCTAGGGTGTGGTCACATTCTCATTCTTTGAGTACTCAGTACATGAGGTTGTTCCATGAGGTTGTTCGGTGATGAGAAAATGCATCATGAGTTACGCATTTTATATGGGAATAAACAGAAAATTCTAGTCCCCAGTGCTGAGTTTGCAGGTCTCCCAGTCATGGATGGGAACCTCTCCAGGCCTATGTCAGTTAAGGAGTGGTTCCTTTTAGCCTGCTTGCATTTACCTCAGCCAGCACTTTGTTTTGGCATGACGCAGCTGAGGCCCGAAGTTTTGGCAATGTCAAGTCCAACCTGTACCCAAGCTTCTGGACTCTGGTGCTCCTTCAACAGTGGCATCAAATATGTGAGTCTAATTTGTAATATGTAGATAAAAGTTTCAACCTGTGGGTAAGCAAACAATTTCCTAATACCTTCCGTTCATTCAACGGTAGCATCAAATATGTGAGTCTAATTTGTAATATGTAGATAAAAGTTGCAATCTGTGGATAAGCAAACAATTTCCTAACACCCTCCGTTCAGTTGTCTGAGCTGTCGTGAGGGAATCAAGGCCTTTGTTGGAGGCTGCGGAGGCTCCTGCCAGTGTGTGTGTGTTGTTTTTTGTGTTTACTGTGCTGGCATGTCCACATTATCTCACTTGAACTTGACTTTAACACGCTGTGAGAGACATGTGCAGAAGCTGAGGCTCAGAGAGGACAAGAAACCCAATCAAGATCCCACCACGGAGGCTCAGGCCCAAGTCCATCTGGTCTACACCACATGGCATCCCTCATGTCCTCCCATCACATTCAAATATTTTTTTAATAACTGCCTGAGAATGAAGCCAGACCGGTAATGCAGAGCAGAGAGAGAAGCGCGGGAGGGAGGTGATGACCTCCGGTGAACCTCTGGATCCACCTTGAGTGAAGTCAGGTCTGTCACTTGGCACTGAGAGATCCTGCCCTGTCTCATTGGGTAAGGAGAAGATGGGGAGGACTATGGGTATCAGAGGTTTACCCTAAGAAGGTGCTGCTTCCAAGTCCCAGGTCCAGTCCAGGGTCATGCAAGTGGTAAGCAACAAGGCCAATATCTGAACCCAAGTCTGACTTCTAAGACCAAGGTGTGTGCAATTTTTCCTCTAACAAATTCCCTTTGAGTTCTCAACTGATCTTCTACACAAGATTAAACATCAGTCAACCTCTGTCTTATCTTCTTCCTTACTACTAACAGGATTCAAAACAGCTTTTCAACTCAAAGAATGTCAGCTTCTCAGCTTCCTAATTTCCTAGAGAATTTTTTCCACACCCGTGCACAGGACTTAGTTGGCCTCAAGTATGAGCACTTACAGTCATTGAGGACCATCACTAACACCTGAGAGATGTGTTCAGCGCTGAGGAGAGAAGCAACTCAATCAGGCCCACACATCAAAGCATTTCCTTCTAGTGGGGCCTATGGAGTTAAGTTTTCCAAACTGCTGATGGTAGGAATACAGTATCACCACGGCTAAAATACACTCCATGAATATAATTTTGTATTAGGTATTCTAGGTTTAAACCCATGATCTGCTTTTTTTGGTGGGGGGGACATGGAAGAAAGGGTGGTAATAAGGGGTTTGAAATCAGGGCCTTGAATTGAGGTGAAATGTTTTCTCAACCAAACGCTTTCTATGTAACTTTGGACTTCCCTAGATCTCTCTGTTTGAATCTGCAATATGGGGCTATGAGGGGGCAGATACTAAGTCTGATTATCCTTAAGTAATAACTATATTTCACTCATCAGGGAAGTCCCAATCTGAAGGTCACCACAAAGAGGGAGAAATTATCAGAATTTCTTCACCATTAACACCATATCCCCCAGAAGATCCAGATATTCTGAGCTTGCCCATGCAACTCAGGATCCTGAACATTTCTAGAAATTCTAGAAATCATCTCTCCATCTTACAGACTGAAACCAAGACTCATAAGACTGCAAGGGACAATTGTAATTGTGGCACCTGCCAAGTTCCTTTTCTCTTTTGGTTCTTTTTTTGGGGGGTGGGATGGGGGTGGGGGTCAGAAACTAGAACTCCAACTCTGTACCTGACACTTTGACTTATTGGCTGATGCTCTACCACCTGAACCCCATCTCCAACTCCACCCTTCCTGTTTTGGGAACTGCTGGGCTCACAGCAGTAACAGGAGCAATTTGGTGACTGCTAAATTGTCATGGACACAATGTCCCCTCGCTTGGGGTGCTCATCTCATGCTCTGGCCTGGTAAAGTGGCAGACTGTGGATGAGGAGCTATCTCTTGTATTGTTATCATTTGGTTTCTGCGGGTGGTTGTGGCATCCATCACAGTCCAATTTTAAGGAAGTGAGGAATGCCCAGCTTGTGTGATAAAATGTTTTTTTAGTAACTGCATAGAGCAATGTAAAAGAGTCAATCAATAAAGCAAACCCAAATAGTAACACAAAATGAAAAGTGGAGCATTTTTCATTCCTGTGATCAAGGTGAAAGAATTATTCATGCTACTCAGGGGGCTGAGATCTGAGGATCACAGTTCAAAGCCAGCTCATGCAGGAAAAGTCCGTGAGACTCTTATCTCCAGTAAACCACCAGAAAAACCAGAAGTGGTGCTGTGGCTCAAGTGGTAGAGCACTTGCCTTGAGCTGAAGAACTGAGGGACAGCGCCCAGGCCCAGAGTTCAAGTTCTATGACTGACCAAAAAAAAAAAAGCTATTCATGACTTGCAGTCTGAATTCTCCAAATAACCAAAATTGATTGTGCAGGTTCCTGAATTCAGTCTTGCTGAAGTTATGAAGTTCAATGTTGCAATTCATGCAGCATGAGAGCATGTGAGAAAAAAAACCAAGGCTCTCTAAACACTGATGTAAGTCGTTCACAACTTACCCTAGAGAGGAAAGAAACCTCCTGACTTCCTATTTGTTCCACTCCTCAGGGCTGCTTAGCTGGGAGCCAGGGACCAATTTGGTTTGGAGAGTAAAAGTAAACTGAGCAGGAAAGAACCTTGGACCCATACAAAATTGTAGACACTTGTTAATTAATGCATTGGAAACGTGGGGAATTTTTGTGGAAATGGATTTCTGTGGTATTTGATCATGCAGGGGAAGTGGAATTTTGGACCAGGCTGGTCTTCTTGAGATTGATGCACTTAGCAGGGATTCTGCCTTCTATGCTAGCTCCAAGAGCTGGCTGGGCTCTAGCAATTTGATGAGTTGGCTAATGCAAACTTGGACCAAATGATGGCCCACAGAAATTGGAACTTGCAGGGCCCAAATCCCTTGGCCTCATGTAAACAGGAAGAGGATAAAAGATTTCTGAAGACAAGATGCTAGATTGGTTTTATACTGCGACTTCTCCCCTCTAATTCTCTTACGATGGCCTCCAGTGAACCCAGCATGCTTTTCCCTGGTTTGAAGAAAGTCTAGATCAGGAGTAGCAGGTTGGGAGAAGCTGCAATTTGAAGTGGGTTCCTAATTTTAGAGCGGGAAAGAACACAGAAGGGCAAGAACCCCGGCATTGGCATTTCATTTTCAGAAGTTTGCCATAATATTCAGAGGGCTCTGAATGAGGCAAGAACTCATGGTGTAGGTAACTCTTAAAAGTTGTGTACTTCCTGAAGCCTTGTCAGTCGGTTCTTCCTTTGATTGGATGAACTTCATACACCCTTTTGTGGTAGGCTTACCAGTGACCTCAAACATGTACCCACATTTAGGTCTCTACAGCCTGTAAATATTACCTTATTTGGAACAGG